GTTAATACCATTCAGTCCAGTACTTGGGATTTTTCCAGGAAATCAGTAGAATGATTCTAGCAGAACAAAAGTCCATTTTTTAAAATTATTTATAAATAGTAAAACCATTTAAAAGTAGAACAATTGATGTTGCAGAAAGCAAAGCAAAAAAATCACTTATTTTAGTAAGATTGCTGCAACTGAACAGAACAACTATTGAAAACACAGTGCATTAGCTGGATTTAAGAGATTATATCAATATTACTCTTCTGTTCAAAACTTACACACAAAATTGTTTTGCATTCTAATTAGAAATCAGCTAAAAACATTCTCAGAAACTAATTCCATAATTTCCACTCAGAAGCAATCTATATTGCAAGCTAATTCTGATTTACCTAAAATGGAAAACATCTTACGAAAAGGTAAATCAAGAGCTTTCTATTTTAAGTACTCTACCTTAAACAACATGTTTTGCAAGACTATTTTTTTCCTGAAGGTTGGTATTTTTTTGGCAAGTGCCACTGAAATCTTTGTTCCATTGGACACACCCTACAACAATTCTTTTGGCAATTATTATTAAAGATGTAATCATCTAACAATCAAGTCAAATCTTGAGGTAAAGTAAAACTGCAGTAGTTTCAAACACCTGTACTAACTTACAGTAATCCTTGCATTTGATATAGCACTTTAGGACTTTTCACGTCTTCTAGACGTCTCAAAGCGCTTCACAGAATATGCTGTAAAGTGAATTGTTCCTATACGAATACCTATACTACCTCGGTATGATGCTTAAAATGCCTAATGTCAAATTTACAGTTCAATACCTTTAAATGCAGATGCCCAGCCGGCATTATCAGACATAGTGAGATGTCTTCCCAATATAAGGAGCTATATAAATGCAAATCAAAATGCATCATAAAAAGTTATAGCATTCATTTACAGAATGCCTCAAAAAATTGCTGCTTACACTTACAAAAAAAGTTGTACCATCCTAGAAGCATTTTGCTGCTCAGAACTGAACGTAAAAGTTATGCACCAGCTTGGCAAAAATACTGCAATATCTTCTGATTAAAATTCAACATTTTTATTAAGAAGTTTCTGTGCATCGAAATCTGTTGGGGAAATAGTACACAATATCTTCAGTAACAATCCCAGCAGGAAATTGTTATTTCCTAGTATTACATGTTAATTTCCCAATAGAGTGATTACATCACACTCATGAACTCAATGTGGACATCATGCATCAATGGGAGAATGCACTATCAATGTTTACAATGCGTCTCTGAGCAAAACTGAATGAAGTCACTGTGAAATTCACGCTATATACTAAATTGATTTGATACTGATACTTGGAATAAAGATCTAAAGCATTTATATGCATTCTTAATTTCTGATATGATATAAACTCATCAGGGCAATTATTCTTCATAGTCACTAAAATGTGTGGATAGTAAAACACACTATAGTTGAGTAAGAATTCTTGGAGGAGGGTTGAACACTCAGTGATTACCCTTTTATAAAGGCATTCAACAAAAGGCCCTTGGACATCATTTGAATTAGAGATAGGGGCCAAAGAACAGAGAACAACAACAACAAAAAGTGCCTTTCATGTCAGGAGGACGTCCCAAGGCGCTGCACAATTACAGACCCGAGCTGGAGGTCGGTGTCAGGGAGGGTGGAGGGCAGGGGCAGAAGCAGGGAGAAGGTAAAAGTATACCAAACCAATGTACAGTTAACCGATAATTTTATTCCACAATATTTAACATATGACTTACCAAATGTTATCATCCATGTTTAACTTCAGAACAGTATATGCATTGAATAGTCTTAATTCATTAATTCTACAATGTTATGTAATGTAGCAGAGGTCTAGGACAATTCAAATCAAGTTGATTACACAAGGTAGACTTGAATAGTTTTTTTTTAAAATTCCCAACCGTTTGAATGGTAGCGTTGGAGTACATGCATTTTTACTCTATTTTCAAAGTTTTTAAGATGCGACCACTAACACGTGTTCAATGTAATTGACATGTGTAACATTTGTATGATAGCTGATTTTGAGAAGTACTATTCGCCCACAAAATATAGTCAATTCACCTCACAGTATATTTGTGAAACGCTTTAAGATGTCTCGGGACAGGAATTCGTCCGACTCTGCTTCTGTTACCCCTGCAAACCAAAGCCCAAGCGGATAGAGTAGTCCTAGCTGGACAAGTAGTGGGAAAGCTTGCCAGGCAGCTCTCAATGGCAAGCTTTGCAATTTTTGCTGGTTAGATTCCAGCAGTACCCCAAAGCACGCTCTGGGGTCCTGTAGCCTGGGCTCTTACCAACCTGTGCCTAATACTTTCCGGAATTAGGTAAACAGGAACCCTCCAACAACAACAACAACTTGCATTTGTATAGCACCCTTCACGTATGGTAGCTTGAAATCCTCCAGGGAGAGAGTGTGCACTCCATTCCAATAAATATCTCTAGAATTTCCATGTGTACGTGAGTTTGATTTGGATACTTTTAAGCGTGGTTTCCACATGTGTTAAGACATCCGGCTGACCAAAAAAAACTAAGACAACACACAAGTGAACTAAAAAGCTGGGAAATAGGAAGCTAGCAACCCTCAAAAAGATGAAGTGGATATAAAGCCAATGGTATTAGAATACAATTCACATCTTAAGACTTAGATTACTATAATCCAAATACAAAACAGTCACCCCTTAAAGATTTGTCTACTTCTAATTGTAAAAATAGTCCTGTAATTAAAATGAAAAGATGCATTTGAAATTTCAGCCGTTAAAACAACTTTCAATAAACAAAATCATTTTCTGTTTGCATTGGTCTTGCAAAGCTCGCTATCCAATTAAGTCAGCTCACACCCATGAGCAATAAGTATTTTTTACAAATACTCAAATCCACATCTTCAATATATCTCAAATACAATTTATTTCCTACAATGGGGATCTATGTGTTAGTAGTTAATAATAATAAAACCTGGGCAAAAACCTGGGAAAGTCATAGTTGGGCTCTGATAGCTCCCAATCACCGAACAGATCGATTTCAAGATCCTCTCACTCATTTTTAAATCCCTTCATGCCCTCGCATCTCACCTATCTGCTTACTCCCCACTCCACTACATCTCTGCTCAGCTGCCTCCGGCCTCCTGTTTGTCCCTCGTGCCCTCCGCTCCACCATCGGTGGCCATACTCTCAGCCGGGGCACCCTGAAACTTTGGAACTCTCTCCCTCAATCCTTCCACCTTGCCCCCTCCTTCCCCATTTTCAGATCACAACTGAAGATCTTCCTTTTCGAACCAGGCTTACGGTCACCGCCCCTCCTCCCCCAGCCTGGCGCCAAAGCTTTGTGACTTTAAATGCTCCCCCGGGTGAAGGGCGTTATACAAACGTAAGTTGTTGTGATTTTTCAGGAGCTACGATATCGAATTTTGCCCTCTCAAGCAAACGTATCAATCCGTTTGCAATTAGACCAGGATGAGATGCTGGTCTACTTGCAAAAGGTACACGCCATCAATTGGCTGCTTGTGTTTAACACCAGCCACTGGGAAGCATTTTAGCATTCCTACGAAAAGGCTTTAAGACATTTGAAAGCATAACTTGCAGGACAGATAATTCCGACAGCCGGCACCTTTGTTTTTGGCATCAGCAACCTTTCATTTTAGAGCCTTTGTCTTGAAACTCAGGAACCACTGAACCAAACGAAATGCCGAGGTGGGTGGGGTGGGGTGGGGTGGGGAGTGCTTTACGAAAATACTGCCGCCCCGTATCTCAGAAGAGATATTTGGGAAGATTGCGATCATTCCTCATGGCAACGAAACGCAACTGAACACTCACGTGAACATTTCCACCGATTCGATTTCCTCCTCCAAACCCCTCCCAGACATTTGTTTTCCTGCGCTTGCAAAAATGCTGTTGTTGTTGCTGTTGTTGTTGTGGGGAGGGGTGTGTGTGTGTGGGGGGGGTGTGTGTGGGGGGGGGGAGGGGTATGTGTGGGGGTGGGGGGTATGTGTGGGGGGTGGGGGTATGTGTGGGAGGGGGGATGGGGGTATGTGGGGGGTGGGGGGGTATGTGTGGGGTGGGGGGTATGTGTGGGTGGGGGGGTATGTGTGGGGGTGGGGGGGTATGTGTGGGGGTGGGGGTATGTGTGGGGGGTGGGGGGGTATGTGTGGGGGTGGGGGGTATGTGTGGGGGGTATGTGTGGGGGTGGGGGGTATGTGTGGGGGTGGGGGGGTATGTGTTGGGGGGGTATGTGTGGTGGGGGGTATGTGTGGGGGTGGGGGGTATGTGTGGGGGGTGGGGGGTATGTGTGGGGGGGGGGTATGTGTGGGGGGGGGGGTATGTGTGGGGTGGGGGGTATGTGTGGGGGGTATGTGTGGGGGGGTATGTGTGGGGGTGGGGGGGTATGTGTGGGGGGTGGGGGGGTATGTGTGTGGGGGGGGGGTATGTGTGGGGGGGGGGTATGTGTGGGGGGGGGTATGTGTGTGGGGGGGTATGTGTGGGGGTGGGGGTATGTGTGGGGGGTGGGGGGGTATGTGTGGGGGTGGGGGGTATGTGTGTGGGGGGGGTATGTGTGTGGGGGGGGTATGTGTGTGGGGGGTGGGGGGTATGTGTGGGGGTGGGGGGTATGTGTGGGGGGGGGGTATGTGTGGGGGGTGGGGGGTATGTGTGGGGGGGGTATGTGTGGGGGGGGTATGTGTGGGGGGTGGGGGGTATGTGTGGGGGGTGGGGGGTATGTGTGGGGGGGGGGGTATGTGTGGGGGGGGGTATGTGTGGGGGTATGTGTGGGGGGGGGGGTATGTGTGGGGGGTGGGGGGTATGTGTGGGGGGGGGTATGTGTGGGGGGGGGTATGTGTGGGGGGGGGGGTATGTGTGGGGGGGGGTATGTGTGGGGGGGGTGGGGGGGTATGTGTGGGGGGGGGGGTATGTGTGGGGGGGGGGGGGGTATGTGTGGGGGGGGGGGGGTGAGGAGAGAGAGAAAAGGGCTCAGGAACAATAAAACGGGGCCCAACATACCTGATGCTCAATATGGATTCCGTCGCCCGTGGGCCACCGGTGTTTGCTGGAGTAGCCGCCCAGCTGCTCTCCGGGCTGCCTCTGGAAGAAGTACCCGACCGTGGCGTCGTCCTGCGAGCGGCCGGCGAGGGCTGCCTGTATCCCGGGGTGGTTGGACGCGATCGCCGGGGATGCGCCTCCGGGCCCTGTTGCCGCCGCCGCCGCGCTCAGCACCATACCCCCGCCGGCACCTTCCTGAGGAGCCCCCCCGCCGCCGCCGCCGCCGCCGTGCATCACGCGGGCCGAGTCCTGCTGCCAGGCCGCCTCATTCATGCCGAGGAGCACACATGGGATGTTCATCCCCCGACAACCTGAGCCCACAACACAATGGAGATCGGCACCGCGGCACAGCACAGCCGAGCAGAGCAGAGCTCCGGATACAGCCCCCGCACACCACCCAACCCCCCCCCCCGCACACCCCCCCCGCACACCACCCGCACACCACCCACCCCCCCCCGCACACCCCCCCCCGCACACCCCCCCCCCCCCCACCCCCCCCCCGCACACCACCCAGCCCCCCCCCGCACACCACCCCCCCCCCCGCACACCCCCCGCACACCAACCCCCCCCCCACACCCCCCCCCCCACCCCCCCCGCACACCCCCCAACCCCCCCCCCCGCACACCAACCCCCCCGCACACCACCCAGCCCCCCCCCGACACCACTCCCGCACACCAACCCCCGCAGACCACCCAGCCCCCGCACACCACCCAACCCCCCCCGCACACCCCCCCCCCCGCCACTGTACTTTGGACCCCGATATCCGCCGACTCCCCCCCCCCCCGACACACAGACGCGCGCGTTAGGGCCTCGACCCGCCTTCCCCCGCACATCAGGCCTTGACCCTACATACCCGGGGCCTCTCCCCCCTCCCCCTCCCTTCCCCCCTCTCCCGCTTCTTCTCTCCTCCTTTCCCCCCAACCCTTCAAACCGGGCCCTGACCTCCGCCGCCGCCGCCCACACACACAGATAACTCCCCCCCACCCCACCCCGACCCGCATGGCGCCCGCCCGCCCGCCCGGGGTGCGGCCTCGGGGCAGCGCGTGTCCAATACTCACGGGCTGTGCAGTGACGGGGTGTGCGAGAAGCGCCGTGTGTGCGCGGTGGCGGTGCGGTGCGGGTGCGGGGCCCGGCCTGGCCCGGCCTGGCAGAGGGGGAGAGGGAGGGAGAGAGAGGCGGGTCCGCGCTTCTCTGCTCTTCTCTTTTTTGTGTGATGAGAAACTCTCAGCTCTCACAACATGGCGAAAGTCATCTTCTCCGCGAAAAGCACGACGGGACCTCCCCCCCCCCACTCCCTCCCCCCCCAACACTGTCTCCAGCCTGACTTCCTGCAGGAGAGAGAGAGAGAGAGACTGGGGGTGGGGGGGTGTGGGTGGGGGTACACACACCCCCCAACTGCTCAATGCACCATTGGACAAAACACTCACACTGAAACACTGCGATTTTTTCTTCCCCCCCCACCAACCAAAAAAAAAAATCCCCCCCCCCAACGTTTTAAGTCCCCGAATCAAGAAAAAGCGCCAGATTCGTCCGTTGTCAATTGTGCTTTGAAGGCGGTTCGCCAACCGCGCTGCGTTTGGCGAAGCGCCTCTCGCGTCGGGAGGCCGTCCCCCGAGGCGCTGGACCCAGCTCTGGGGATCCGGAGCCGAGGGTTGGGGGTTGTGTGTGTGTGTGTGTTGGGGCGCAGGGGCGGAGAGGTAGGAGGGCGGCTGACGGCACGGTCAAAAAATGGAGGGTCTGGAAGGAGGCAAGGGGGGGAGCAAGGCGAAGGGATTGCGGGATGGAGTTCCAAAGGGTAGGGGCGGACAGGACGAAAGCCCGACTGCTGATGGTAGGGCGGGTCGGGCAGGAGACGCGGGGCATGCTGAATGGAGGGAGCGGACAGGGTGATAGGGGGTTATCAGGTCAGAAAGGTAGGTTGTAGATGGGTAGATGTAGTTGGTAGAAGGGTCGGAAGATTATTTTTATTGCTGTATTAATAGTCATTTGCACAGGCTCGGTCAGTAGCACTCTCGCTTCTGAGTCAGAAAGTTGTGCGTTCAAGCCTCTGGGTCAGAACTGAGTTCAGAATCTAGGCGGATGCTCCAGTGCAGTGTTGGTGGCGTGCCGCAGTGTTGGAGGTGCCGGCCTTCAGATGGACCGTTAAACCGAGGTTTTGTCCGAGGCATGTTAAAGATCTCACAGTACTAAGATAGGGAGTTTTTTTATGGTGTCCTAGCCAAGTCATCAACAACAACAACAATGTGCACTTATATAGTGCCGTCCACGCAGGGTTGGGTCTCAGAGCCTCGCAGCATCTCAGAGCGCATCAAAGTTATCCCGATTAACAACACTTGGTTGTTTGTTGGGGCATTGCTACACGCAAATTGGCTGCTGCGTTCACATACAAAACACAATCACTACATTTGACAGTAAATGCCTTGTAACATTTTAGGATGTTTTGATGTGAAAGGTGCTATATCAGATGGAAGAATTATTATTATTTATATAGCACCTTATCATTTGTCATCGAAATCATTTTCGCCCGCAAAATATACAGTCAATTCACTTTACAGTATATTCAGTGAAGCGCTTGAGACATCTTGAAGACGTGATAAACTACTATATCAAATGCAAGGATTATTATTGATTATTTAAATGTCTCAAAACACCTCTCAGAATTTAATGTAAAATATAGTGATATCATCCTGACGTGAAAGATACTATATAAATGCAATTTTTGTTGTTATTGTTACTGTATTTGTAGTTTTAAGCATGATGATGTGTTTCAAAATGTGTCAGCCATTCGGCTGACCCCCCAAAAAAAATTGTACACAATTGAAGAGAATTCGAGAGAAGAAAGATAATTTTCCACCCATTTGTGGAAACATGGAAGGGACTCCCAAAATATAGAGGTTAATATGTTGTTAATTGCAAATTTGCTGCCTGCAAAATTAGTTAGGAATTGAGGTGTAAAATGGGTAATCTATACTAATAAAGACGTAATGTCTGTCTGTGTGTGTGTCCATCAATAACTCAATAACTGATTGACGTAGAGACCTCATCGGAAAGATCTTAAAATGGGGGAGGGTGGCATCGTGCGCATATTATATTTCGGGGATTTCCTATCGTTGATGAGCAATATTCAAAAATATATTAAAAAATGCTTTCATTAAGCCCCCAAAATGGATGCATGGTATTACGCATCAAAGGTCACACAGCCTTCTAGAGAAATAGATACATCTATATAGACCTAATGTCTATTCTGACAAAGGATTGTGGACCCGAAACTTTGACTTGCTTTCCTTTCTCCATAAATGCTACCTGACCTGCTGAGTGTTCCCAGTGACTTCTGTTTTTGTTTTAGACTGCACCCTCCCCAACACACACTGCACCTCCCTGTCTGTCTGTCTGTCTGTCTGTGTGTCAGAACTCCCACAGGAAGACTTGCCTTTCTATGTGTTCTTTATCATTTTATCTCATATAGTTCTTTGCCTCTCTCTTGGATGAGGAAAATATCAATTAATTGTGAATGTCTCTCAGAGAAGTGAACATAATGCATAGGTTGACTATTCAGCCATTTTATTGATGAATGAATCACATACAAGAAGTTCATTACATGTGTATCATTTTAATGACAGAACCCAAAGATATATTTTCTTCTGTCACATCATCAAGCAGTAATCACAGCAGAGTAGATTTTACCAAATGATAAATTACTAAACCAAATAGAGGGAGATGGTTCAGTAATAAAAAAACATTTTTAATTACGTAGTTTTAGAATATTGTATCCCCTTTTGGTTACACCTCTAGGGAAGATGTCGAAGCCATCCTGTGCATTGGAGATTTATTGGGATGATACAGGGGATGAATCTATGAGCAGAGCATGAGGAACTGAACAAAGAAGGTTAAGGGTGTCCTGAGAGAGATCTTTAAAATTATGAAGGGTTTTGATATTATGAAGGGAGTCAGTAGGAAGAAATTATTTCCACTGGTCAGTGAGTCAGTGACTAGAGAGCATGAATTTAAGATAATTAGCAAACAAGCAAATTGGGGAGGATAGAAGAATTTTTTTTCACAAAAGAGTATTTAGGATATGGAATGCCCTGCCAGGAACAGCAGTGAGGCAGAATCCATATTGGTCTTCAAGAGGGAATTAGATAATTACCTTAAAAAGAGTCAACTACAGGGGTATGAGGAAATAAATAATATTGTTTACTTCAGAGTTAAACAAATGGAGGCATGAGGACCTTGAGGGGGTTAAAGCACATTCCCTTCGCCTTGCTCCCTCTTGCCTCCTTTAAGGCACGACTCAAGACCCTCCTCTTCAACCGTGCCTTCGGCCATCCTCCTATCCTCTCTGCCCTCCACCCCTCCTGGGTCCAAATCCCTCACTGTCCATTGCCTTGGGACATCCTCCCCACATGAAAGGCACTATACAAATGTAATTTTGTATTGCACTGCATCTTTGCCCAGAAAGGTTTAGCAAAACACACTCTGGCTTCCACTGCCAACAGGTTCTGGTTACTGATCAGAGCTACTCCCTGTGTATCATTTGTCTTTGGACAAATAGTACATCCAATTCTATCTCTAGTACCTGGAAACTCAAGTGACAATGAATATACAAAAGTTCTTCAGTTGTACGATCAGCATCCAAGTTAATAGCCTGTTTGCAAATATCTGTTTCTCTCTTTCGCACATAACCAGTCTTCTGTGTGTCTCTCTTTCTCCCTCTCCCTTCCACCACAAGTCTTTTTTTTCTCCAACTTGTAAATGTTCTTCTCCTGTGTCCACAACAACAACTTGCACTTATATAGTGCCCTCCACGCAGGGTAGCGTCTCAGAGTGATTAACAGTGGCAGAGCCTGACTCCGAGCCAGGGGGAGGTTGCTGTTTGGGGCTTAGTTGCTGAAAGCGCGACCGGTAGTGGGGCGGAGAGTGTGAGGGATGAGCAGGAGGCCAGTGCCAGTCAAGCGGAGGCGCCGGGTAGTGGATTGGGGAGTGAGATGCCTGGTGGTGGATTCACAATGTGCATACTCCCTCTTTCTCACTCATTTTCCCTTTGGGATGTCCAAAACTGATGGACAGAAACTGGGGAGAAAAATGTTATACATGATAATCACTACTGGCGGTAACTATTACACCAGATACAACTCTTTTTTCTGTACTAGATGTTCTCGCAGCTGATGCTAGAAAAGGGAAAATTTATCATAGGTCCTAATGTTTGTCAATGTATTTGTTGCATGAAATGACCA